GGCAAGTTTTGGTTCTAGAACCCCAGCAGATGTTCAAGTTTCTTATAGAAAAAAAAAAAGCCACCAAAACTCTGTAGTCCCCCAGATACTTTAATGAGCATCAAATGACTTAGAATGCCTAACACAAAGCAAACATTGTGTGAGAAGTCGTTACACTGTGTTTTAGGGGCTGATGAAATGTGGGAAAGCTTTCACATGTTAATAGAGACATAATCTCCTCCAGTTTAGAACACTGAGACAGGGTGTCACTGTGTGGCTCTGTTTGGTTTGGGAACTCACTATGTAGATCAGACTGGCAGGATCTCCACCTGCCTCTGCCTCCCAAGCATGAGGGTTGAGGACGTGCGCCGCCACATCCAGCCTCAATGTTTTTGATTCAGGACTGGCTGCCTTCATAGATATGGTTCCAACTACAACCAGTCATTGTATGTGTGAACCCTTGACAGCAAACGGTGACAGGCAAGAGCACATTGAACTTGAGGAAGATGTAACTGCTTCCTGTGAGGAACCACTGGAGAGGAAACACAGACATGGCAAACAGTAGGTGGTTAATGTGCCCTGGGTGAGGTGGAGGGTAGAAGTAACTGGATGTAGGAAGGGCCTTGATGGCTGTGTTAACAGTATCAGCTTTGGGTAACTGACTGGAAAGATGGCTTGAGGTTAAAAAGCACTACTTTTCCAGAGGACCTGGGTTCAAGTCCCAGCACCCACATGGCAGCTCACAACTATCTGTAATCCCAGTCCCAGAGGACCTCTCTGGGACTTCTGACCTCTTCTTCTGACCTCTCAGCAGGCACCAGGTGTGCACATGGTGCAGACATACATGCAGGCCAAACACTCATGCACATAAAAAAAAAAAAGTAATTAAAAAGAAAGCATTAGCTGTTTTCTGCAGGTAAAGAGGTTCCATCAGAACAGGTTTTATGTCAGCTTTCAAATTTTCCAATTACTTTGATACCAGGATCTGCAAGACTCAGGGACTGTCCTGACTGGTATGATGAGGAAGGACAGACGTGTGTACACAGGAGATGAGGTCGGGTAGCCCATGTGCTCTGATGGAGACACAGCAGCAGCAAGCTTGAAGTTTAGCTCATTTACTTTATATATCTGAGTAGGGGAGGTGGATTTACTGTAGTCAGCTGAACAAGGAGGTCTGTGGTGTACATTCAACAAGAAGGAGGCAGCTTTCACTAGTCTCCTCAGGAGGTGCCTATAGGGAAAGAGTCAGGTTGCAGTCATCCAGGAGGAAGCTGTGATTGACAGTTTCTATACACACTGGTCAGTCTTTTCTCAACACTTGTACTTGTACCAGAGAAAGGCTTTGCAAATTTCCATGGGCCTGAAGCGCTGGGGTCCTGACATGCCAACAACATACATGCACTCAGTACTTAATCTGCTCCCCACACTTGGATAGCAACATGGACATTAACTATATGAACCTATGCTTGTTTTGATACAGGAGATGCCAAAGCAGAGAATTAAGGTATTTATTATTTCACTAAAACTAAACTTGGACCTGGAGAGATGGCTCAGTAGTTAAGAGCACTGACTGCTCTTGCAGGGGATCCAAGTTCAGTTCTCTGTGTGCACAAGGCTCAGAAGTGTCTAATTCAGTTCCAGGGGCTCTAACACCCTCTTCTGTCCTCTGTGGGCAGCAGGCGTGCGCATGGTACACAGACATGCAGACCAACACTTACATAATAAACTTTTATAAAACCTTGGAAACACAGTGAAAAAGTGTAGGTTTCTGAGAACAAAATGTCCTCACAGTCCCAGGTCAGGTGCAGGGACCTCTGACTCTTTGGAGAGACCCTTGAATTGCTGGACCTTTTGGAACTAGAAGGGATGTTCAGATGTGACTCTCTGTCCTGGAAGAGAAACTGCAAAGGCTTTGGAGTTGTGTCCAGTCAACTCTTGGAATTGCCTTGCAGCATTCTCTTGTCCTGGCAAAAAGGAGTCAAGACAGCAGACCCTGGAGTCACTTAACAAAACAAAACCAACGCATAGCACTACCTCCCAAGGCTGCTTAGCAGAGTGGCTCCCTTGCCCTCCTAGTTAACCAGGCCAACCCATGTTCATAGACATCGAGTTAAGACCAAGCCCTAAATACAGGAGGCGTGACACAGAAAATACACACATTGTTCTAAGTAGAAATTTATTTGGTAGAATGACAATGTATGAAGTGAATTTGAACAGTAACACTATACTCAGACATACACCTTCAATATAAAGTAAATGTTAATGAAAATGGCACCTGAAAAGTTTCTTCCAATGTGTCTACTTTATGCATTCATGAAATTCAGCTTAAAACTAGATCGAAGATTTACGAGAAAACCTATAAATGGCACTTATAATCAGTTTCCTTACATTATAACACCTACACTATGTCATCACACCCAAGGCATTTTGAGCAGCCGTGAAATAAAAACATAGGTGTGTTTTCCTATAGGTGTGAATTCCAATCACTCTGCTTTGATGACAGACAAGTAGGGAACCAGGAAGGAAAGGGAAGAAAAGCAAAGAGACCCAGTAGGGTCAAAGGTCTCCACAGAGCAGTTGTAGAGATGACCAAAGTGGATTTCAATAAAAATTGAATACTAAGAGCGGCACCCTCGGAGGGGGGGCTCTGGGGGGGGCAACCAAGCCCTAAAGGAGGGACTGGGAGACTGAGAGCCACCACCTTCTAGCCTGGGACCTTTCTTGGAGGACATGCCTCAACCTAAGTGCACTAGGGACATAGAAGTATGCAGGTCCCAACAGCTCTTCCTAAAGACATTTCCAGCATCCAAATGCATGTTTAGGACCTTAATGGGAGCAGGAAGCAGAAACTGATGGCTCTGAGATAAAAAATCAAACAGAAAAAAACCACACAAACTCTTCTGACACACTGAAGAACCTCTGACACACAGGGACTAGCTGAGGACAAGCAGTGCCCGACAGTTAGTGTAAGAGAGTGAAGGAGAAATGGGACTTCAGAAAATACGAGAAAGGTAGCATAGCACCCATTATGCCTAGTGTAAGATAGAGAAATAGAACTGTGGACCTGTATTATATCATGCTATCTGTTTTATAAATATAAATGATCTGAGGGCTTTCAAAATATTTTAAATGACAAACACATTTTGGTATAGATACCATATTAGGTCATACAACTGACTTGATGTTACATTTATACATAGATCAGGGATATAGATAAAATTTCTGCAGAGCATTTTCCGAACACTGATCTCAGTGCTAACTGAACGCTAAAAGCAGAGGGAGACTGGCACAAATATCCTTTAATCTATTAACCTATGCTTTGTGCAGAAATACATTTGCTCATCTGTGTAAGTGAATCTAAAGTTGTTCATAGACCTAACACTTAGAGCTCGTCTTGTTTTCTTCTCTGCTCTCCTGCAGTCAAGGCTACGTGGGAGGCCTAGTCAACAGCTTAGGGCTCCTGTTCTCACAGTCTCTTTGTCCTCTTTGGAAGTATGTCTTTAAAAATAGTTTCGAGTTTCTTACTCAGACTAAGTGGCTCTCTGAAGAGTCCTCACCATGAGATTATGATCTTGGTTATCGGTGACACTGATACACACACATTTCCATGAGAAGAGTAAATGATTCTAAATTCCCCACTTTTAACAGTGTGCTTTTGAAACAGCTTCTTTCCTAGCACTCCAGATACCTCAACTAGATCCAAGCCTATCAATAGAGGTCACCTTTTCTACCACCTGGGGTTGAAAAGTCTGTGGAGTCACCACACACGAAGACTGTGGCCACAGTGGAATCTGATATTCCTGTCTTCACAGGGGGTGTCATTTCCTGAGTGATTGTAAATTAGCCTTATGTGTGGGTGAGCTAAGTAGTTTCATGGAAACTGAGATCCACACTGTCACATCTGTCATGTGCTAATGGAGAAAGTGTCCCCTGGTTGGCAGCCACAGCCTTGAAGCCGAGGCTGACACACCACTGTCTTCATTTTTCCAGAATTAAGAGCTCACTTAGTGAAGCTATTCTGCCTTTTCACTTTGGCTTAGTTCACACCACCACCCAAGAATATTCTCAGAGCTTTTCATGCTGGAGGCTGGCTCAAGTTGGTTTTAGTAGATGAGAAAATCATGAGTCGGCACAGCCAACCAGTGGCCGTGGCTGAGTGTGCCACTGCTGGAGGAATCGAATGATTTTGGCAAAGCCAAGTCTATTGTGACTAAGAATGTGACTTTCTGGAAAGAAGACACACAGCAAGGCCCTCTCAGCATGGCCAAGTTAGATGCCTATGGTCTCAGGTGAGGACTCTGTTCCCAGGGATGTGCTCTAGACCACAGCTATCTGGCCTTTAAAATAATTATTACTGTGAGACAAAGTCTCACTAGGTGACCCCAGGAGGACCTCAAACTCGGTCCTCCTGCCTCAGCCTCCCAACTGCTGACATTACAGGTGTAAGCCACTGTGTCTGGCTCAGTACATCTGCTTCTAGAGGAACAGTCTGGGGTTACAAAAACAGACTGAAGGGCAAGGCTGACTTTCAGTGTGATACTTGCTCAGCCCATCTCCTGTTACTTCCTCCAACATGAGGCCCTTCCCACATCTGAGTATGTGGCCAAGATGGCTCCAAATGACAAGGCTGAAAGTTGAGTTTAGCTGCAAGTTGGCATTGAGCTCAGAAATGCTTACACGCACTCTTACTGCAGGTCCAGGTTTCAGTGTCACTGATAATGGCAGGCAGGGATAAGGGTCATCCAAGGACACTTAGATGAGGGTAGTCACTACCAACCATCTGCAAACCCAAACAAGGACAATGACCTAGTGGGGCAGGGGGCACTTGTGGTCTCAGGACAGGAAAAAGAACCAGACAAATCACACTTTCTCTAAAATTTGTCATAAAAAAAAAATCAACTGAACAAAAGGTAAAATTTTTAATGTGATACCACCCTCAGTTTTTACTTACATTGTTAAATGATCAAAAGAGCAGCTTTTCAAAATTACCAAGACAGAGAAAAAAAATACTTGTGAGACAAAGAGGCACACTTAGAAAAGTGAAAAGGCATTTGTGTTGATAGCTCTAAGATTAATTAAAATAATATTAATATATCTACTGAGAAAATAGAGCAAGGCTAAGTCAGAGTGTTCGCTAACTTAAGGAGCTGACAGGACAGGCAGCACACACCTTCCGGCTGTGGCCCTCCCTCACTTCCCGTCTGACAGGACTGAAGCAACCACCTAAAAGTCACGGCCCAGTGTGGTACTTCTCATCAGGACAGCTTCCATCTTGGTCACATAAATGCTCATCGATGCAGCTGGTGGACTTTAAGTGTATCAGCAGACCCTTGTACAAAAACCTCGTCGTCGTCTTCCACCCCTTCCTCTATTGGCTTCATCTTGGCAGAGGCTCGCTGCTGCGGGGAGGCCACAGCTGTAAAGAAGCACAAAGGGCAAACTGTTGAATGCACATGATGCCCAGCACCTGGGAGATCAATCCACGTGGGGATTCAGGGTTCGTTCTTAGCCCGTTGAGGAAATGCAGCACCCTTGCATGTCGTAATCAAGTGGTTCACTGAGCAACTAAGTCAAGAGTGAGACTCTCAGGCTAAGGACCAGATCCTGCTCCATGTGCTTGGGGAGTACGAGCCTCATGAACGTGCAGAATTACCAGGGCGCTGCTCCAAGGTCTGTGTCTGAATACATATTCCATGTTAGTATCCTCCATGTGACTAATTAATACTGGCCTTGGAAAGCTGTTTTAACTCATATTTCCTTACAAACAAGTTCTGCTTCCAAACTACAGACTTTAACCTAAAAGTACTTTTCCTGCCACCACAAGTTAAGCTACTTCCAGGAAGGAAGTGAGAGAGGAAGCATGGGCATAGAAGAGGAAGGTGTCAGGTGGATGAAACACAACCTGGGGTTGGGAAAGGGGCATCCACAGGTCTTTACAGATGCTAGTCAACCCAAAAGACAATTTATTCACTCACTCATTTACATCCACAGGTCTTTACAGATGCTAGTCAACCCAAGAGACAATTCATTCACTCACTCATTTACCCAAGACTCATGGTACATTCTCCCTATAATGAATTCATGCCTGACAGCATACCAATGACAAACAAACCAAAATTTTAATTGTATGTAGTGTGTGTGTGTGTGTGTGTGTGCATTTGTGCGTGGCATGAATGGAAGTCAGAGGACAACCTTCAAGAGCTTGTACTCTCTCCTAGGACCCTCCCATGAGTAGCAGGGATTGAACTCAGGTTATTGGAGAAAGTGCCTTTGATCTGCTGCGACATCTTGCGGGCCCTAAAGTAAGTTTTTATAAAGTAGACTTAAGATGTGTGATCATCTGTTCACATAACATCAGCCAGAAGTCCCTCTTCCCATCACCACCTTCCCTGGCAAGATCCATCCTATATATAAATGAGTCTCCACCTGCCTTGCCCTACCGTGCTCCTGTGTATCCCTTTGTGCCTAGCCACAGGACTGGTGGCATCCAGTCAGCTACTGCTGAACTGTGTTGGGGAAGAACAAAGGATAACACTTAACTCTTCAAATACTTGGTGACAACAAAGGTGCACAGATAGATCTTAGATGTGAAGCAGACTGGCCACACTGACACTTGCTGACAAGAGTCAGAAACAGCACTGGGGACAACTGTAGCTATCAAGGAGGATGGCAGGCATGTCTCAGGCTTCTCCAGGAAGAACAAAGTAAGGTGTTCTGCACTCAGCCACAACATACAGCTTTGTAAACCACAGAGGCTGCACATATGGTGGCCAATAGCAGACCAGCTGAGGAAGCACTTCCAGGGTCTGAATTCCCACCAAGCTGCCCACAGACTGTGTGACTAGGTAGGGCCCTTCACTTCTTTGTGCCTGGTTCCTTCACTGTGACACCAGACTAGTAAGGACCATGCTTACTGGGCCAGTTCTTAGGAGGCTTCTGTGATTTCTAAGTTCTTAGATTAGTATAGCAAACAGAATGATCACCTTGTTAATGTTTGTGAGAACACTAATCAATATAGTCTTTGGAGGCCAGTGGTCTAAAAGAAAACAACAACAACAAAATTATCAAAACTTATCACTGCCTCATCAGAAATGGGGTATGTTTTCAAACAGCAGTTTGTGTTTCTGAATACCAACTGCCTTGAGTATAGCAAAGTCTTTGCCATGGCTTCCATCATAGCTTCTAGTTATGATTGAATCTCATAAAATATTAACTCAGTCTGAGAATTCATAATCTCATAAAACCCGGAGGACAGCATGCCTAAGAGCATTACACCCGATCAATATCGCACAACATTCAGTCGTGGCTGTCTAAACACATAACAAACACACCCAGTTCGTTTTGATAGAAGCAGGACTACTTGGTCTGTAGTTTTCAAGGCCATTTATCAAACCAGGGATGACAGTCTCTGGTCTATGAGACTTGGTTCTACCTTAGAGCCCAAATGGATGAGTCAACCAGATCTGCTATCTTTTCAGAGAGAAAACAATAGTAACTTCCAATGTTCGAATATAACTGGAAATGGTCATGGAAAACCTTTCAAGAACTTTCAGCTCTTCAGAGAAAGAGTTTTATTCTGTCCCCATGGTATCTTCCTGGAAAAAACAGTTGCAATACTTACTGTGTAGCATTAAAAGGATGAGGAGTGGGCATCTACAACCTTAGGGCAACACACACAGGGCTCTCCAGTGGGTCCAAAGGAGGCTGAGCTCCTAGGAACTCACTGCTTTCCAAGTCCAGCCTAGCCTTTGCCCCGCCTCTCTATCTGGAATGTCCATTCCTGCCCCACCACTGCACCCTCCCCTGGGGCAAACTTCTACCCATTCTTTGTAGAATTCCTTAGCATTCAATGAAAAAAAGAAAAAGAAATAAGAAGGAAAGTAAAGGATATGACTACTCCTAGGTTGGTGGAGGAGAAAGTTTATTATAGATTTGTGTGAGAACAGTGTCAGAGTCAGGGACAGGGACATCTGGGACAGACCAGAGTGGACATGGCCAGACGGAACTCCATGGCCATGTGGAGAGAGGGGAGGGAGAAGGTGCAGCAGCCAGGAGGCCAAAGGTCCAAACGGGCTGGGTAGCCAAAATGTCTGGATTATATAGAGAAGGGCAGTTGGGGAAGGACAGCCCAGCCCTGGGCTGGAGAGTTCAGGGGAGGGGGAGGGGTATGCCAGTCATACCCTGTGGCGGGTAGGGACTGAGGGATGCTGGGAGAACCTGGCAGCCAGGTCTGCTTTGATTTGTTAAGTCGGCATCCCAGCTGTCTGTCCCATCTTGAAACTTCACAAGTGTACTCCTCCCTAATTCCTTATGCAGTCCTCATCTCAGTTCTGCATCACGCTATGGGGTGATGTGAGCCCCTCCCTTACTGGAAACCAAGCATCGCTGAGAGCTGTACCCACCACCTCCTATCCCCGTTGGCCTACCGCAGAATCAGGATGGGCCCCTCACATTTAAATGTATGGTGATTCCCTCTGTGAAGCACTCCACAGAAGCTGTGGGAAACACGGTCACCACACTAAATCCCAATCAAGCCCAGCCCTGGGACTGGGGTAGGTACAACAACCTTCCCAGAAATAAGTAAGTCTGATGCTGGTGAAATCTCACTAGGGCACAGGGACTCCAGCATTCCTCAGCACCCATGGATTTCAACTCTAAAAACATTTCTTAAGTATCTGGTCTTGACCACTACATATGTGGTCTGTTTTGTATCGATGGCAGGGAACAGGCTGTACCTTTGCGGATGGGTGCTTAAGCCTTACCCTCACTGCTGGGTGTTCAGGCCTCACCCTCACATCTGGATGCTTAGGCCTCACTCTCAGGGCTGCTGGAAGACTAATACAACACTACTCAGCACATGGCCAAGAACTGTCTGCTTAGAACCATCAACTGTTAAAGCTTTCCTATCCTCTCAGCAAGAACAACAGCCTGGAAGGGTTTGGGTGCTGGGCTGGGCATGGTGATGCTGGGCTGGGGCATGGTGATGCATGCCTGAAATTGCAGCACCTGGGAGGCTGAGGCAGAGGATGGCAGTGAGTGCAAGGTCAGCCTGAACTACACGAAGAGGATGGGATCAACCACCATAAACACACGGAGAATCTGACTTAGCTGCTACTTGGGAACTCAAACCACCCTTCGGGGCTATGCAACACCAGCACACTGGTGTTTCTACCTTTCCCTCAGACAAGTGAACACAACCTAAGAAAGCCAGGAGAGGCAGCAGAGGACTCCATTCCTCACCCAGGAAGGAACCTTTGGACAGACATCCTAGGAGGACAAACCAGATACCCTGACAGCCTGGCGGGGTTCAGTGTGTGTTCGTTCACTGTGATACGGACTTATTTGTCCTCAAGTTCTGTGGCTGAGTTTGGGAGCTGCTGTGGCTCAGCCCTCCAGCAATGCCACCTCCCTATCTATGTCTCCTCCAGGGTAGACAAGCACAGGGAAGGAATGAGCCAATTACTGCTGCCAACAACTGCCCAGTGCCTCTTGGCTGCCTGACTCTTGGCTAGGAATCAAAGCCACAGAGTGCCCAGTCTGGACAACCATCTCAGTTAGCCCAGGCTTCCCATGCCACTGAGGCTCAAAGTAGATGTCACAGTCAGCAATCTGACAGGGTCATCTGGCCAGGCGTAAGAATCTACCCCTGTCAACACTTGCAAGGAAGCTGGCTTTGAAGAGTAAGGATAGGCCCTGATCCCTAGATGGACTCTCAAACCCCCTGGGAACCTCCAGGCTAGGGAAGACATGATCACACAGCTATGAATTACTCTGTCATATTCTCCTACCAGCTTGCCCAGCATCACATGAAGTCTATGCACTGGCAGACATCTGCCCACAAGTCCCGCCTGCCTCATATGCACGTGAAAGCAGGAGAAGCTGAGGGGAAAGTGGGGCTTCTCCTCATTCAAGTGCCTTTTCCAGTTCCCTAGCCTTCAAGGGCGTGACTCCGAGGTTCAGGCCATCTTTATGATGCTTTTCTGTTCCAAATCAGAAGAGGGCAAATAATTCTTCCATTAATTTTCTAGAAAACAGATTCTTGCATTTTTCTTATTAAACTGCATTCATAGTTGGGAGACAGATAGCTTAATTATGTATTATGCCCAGGAAGAAATCATTATAATTATTATTTTTACTATTAGTTAAAATTACCTTCTAATTTGCTATGCTATGGCTACTAGTCAGCAGTTTCTTATAAAGAGTATATGAAATGAATAGTCTCCAACAGAACTGCATCCCAGACAGGGCATAAAACTGTCAGTCACATGAGAAGTTACCTTCATATTACACCCAGCAGCAAAAGACCTCTGTCAAACAGAATTCCACACCCTTTCCCATAAATACCCCATTCGTGAGAAGGTACGGCTGGAGGAGCCCTTTCTTCTGAGCTGGACTCCAGGTTCACAGATGCCTGGT